TGCTATATGTAATCACTTTCTTTCAGTCTGAAAAATTTCTTTAGTACTTTTTGTGAGTCTGGTTGCAACATATTTTATCAGTTTTATTACTTCTCAAAAAAAAAAAAAAAATATATAAAAAAACCGTCTCAAAAAAAAAAAAAAAAAGAAATAAGGTTGATAACAATGACTGCCTCATGGGGCTATTGTGAAAATGAGTCGGGGTGCGTCAGACACACAGATCAATGCCTGCACACACGTTAGGTGCTGTGGAGTGTGTGATGCCACCATCATCATCAGGAGTAGCACCCGCATTACTCTCAGAGGAAGTCAGTGGAATTAGCCAGTGTTACAGGTGAAGTTGGTGGCTTTGCATGCATCTAATTTATAGTTACTTTGTTTCACTTGGAACAGTAAATTGGGACAGTTCTGCTTTATGCAGATAAGTAGTTGCAAAATGTTTTAAAACAGCTTGACTTGCAAATCTCAGGATACTTTTTACGAAATTGACCCAGAAGCTTACAGAAGAGTTGCAGGCGTTGGTGTCCAAGTTGAATCATTAGCAGCTGTGTGGGAAAACCCCCAACCATGTTTCCTCTCCGCTCTTAACACCGTGACAGATGTCAGCACAGAAGAAGACTTCTGTGACTGAATGTGGGGCTGACACCATCTACCTAGAGACAGAGTGAGATCCCACAGGCCGAGGGCTCGGTCCCCAAGACTGCCCCAGCCCCACCGTGCTTGAGTCTGGGCCTTCTAACCTTCAGGCAGAAACGCTGCTGCTGATCTGATGGGCAGAGCTCAGCGGGGACGCTTGGTTGCCTGCTGCTCGCTTCCTGCTGCGCAGCCTGGTTCCTGACGGACCACCACTGCCCGGGGCTGTGGACCCCTGTAAAGGACACTGCCAAGAACACAGATGAGGGCAAGCGCAGGACAGGGTGTGGGGGACGGGCCGTGGAGTTTCCAAGCCCTCCCTGGGCGGCAGCCCTCCAGGACCTTCCGTGTGCTCAGCTGACCGCTTGGATTTTTATGTGTTTTATTTTTTTACTTCAAAATTCATTTTTCTTTGATTTTTTTCTCTTTTTTTCCACATGTGTTACAAAAAATACCTTTTGGAGATATATATATGTATTTTTTTTTTCTTTGTTTCTTTTTTTTTTTTTGATGTCTTGCTCTGTCGCCCAGGCTGGAGTGCAGTGGTGCAATCTCGGCTCACTGCACACTCCGCCTCCAGGGTTCAGGCCTTTCTCCCGCCTCAGCTTCCTGGGTAGCTGGGACTACAGGCGCCCGCCACCACACCTGGCTATTTTTTTTTTGTATTTTTGGTAGAGATGGGGTTTCACTGTGTTAGCCAGAATGGTCTTGATCTCCTGACCTTGTGATC